CGCCGTGATGTGGGCCGGCGGCGTGGGGGGGGGGGGTCAGAGTAATAGTATCCCCGCGAATGAAGGTGACGGGATGAAGAAACCCTTTGGAAACAACGCGATAAGAGAGGTAAGGAGTAGGCTTTTCCTTCGTGACCTACTGCGGAGCTTTTCTCCGGCATTCACCCCATTACGAATAATTGTCGTTTCTCGGCCACGCGCGCTACGAATTATCGTATACTTTGGAGATTCGTGGAAAATATTCGCACGACCGTCATTATTCATTAGCCATTCGTTTCGGTTTAGTCGTCCATTGTTCGAATAGACGTCTTAATTGATTGCATTGAAGGAACTTTAAGTTTCTGGTACTATCATCGTAAAAAATTGCCATAAAAAATTGTCATTATCGAGTGGATTCAGTTCATATCAATGTATTACTTTGAATTCTGATAATAGTGATAATTCTGTAGAGAAAATATAGATGTAAGTTATTATTATGATTCCTTAAGTTCCAATTTATTAATATACGGGGGAAATGATAAGATCATAAGGATAAGTGCTTTCTTCAGTGTCTTTACTTAATGTCTACAAAATCTCATTAATTAGATCAGATTTTTTTCTCAACAATATCTGTCATGGCGTGTTAAATTGTCGAATGTAAAATCAAGGTATTCCATTATATTATTAAAGTAATGTTTATTTTGAAACAATCCTAAATATAATTATAGAATTTTAAATTCAAGTACTTAAATAACTAAAGGACATAGTTATTTACTTTTAATTTAAAAAAAAAAATATATAAAAATAATATTCATCTATCGTATCGAATAATATTAAAAGTATATAAATAATTAAATATTAATTATGTTTTACAAATGGTCTATCCAAAAGTATTTTATGAATTTTTACAATAGATATTTATCGAGCATAGAGTTATATAAATTTTAAGAATTAAAAAATAAAAGATTGACTTTTTAACAGCGTAATTGTAAATATTCATTATAAAGTAATGAATTATCCGCATGAAAAATAATAATTTCGCTTATTAAGATAAATATGTTTATTTTTACCGGAACGTACTAATCTCCGTTTCCTCTTATCTTCATTAACATTTATATCAACTCTTAATGATTCCGACACATTGACGTAAGATTAAAAATAAGTTTGATCATTGAAGAAAGTTGACTGTATAACTAAATATCAAATTATAGAAAATGTACGACTTTTTTTCAGAAAAGTAGTCCCATTAATTATCTGTAAAAGTCGAGAATTATTACATATATAGATATTGGCAGTGTGCCAATAGAGCATCGATGTGATTTGATTTACTCATGTTTCGTTCGATGCATCTTCCGTGTGTCTTATCGCTATCGAGTTCTTATCACTTTGATTTTATCAATTCTTATTAATTATATAGGTATAACGAAGCACGAAAGTTTTCCTTCTTCGCTCAGGAGTAGTAGTTCATTAAATCGATAGATCTCTGCGAATCAACTTTCTTATCCATAAATGGCGTCGATTTGCGTGAATCTATACACGATTTCTTCATCTACCCTGTCTCTCGCCCCCCCCCTCTCCCTCTCACCCTCTCTCTTTCTCTCTCTCTCTCTCTCTGTCTCTCTCTCTGCCTCTCTCTCTGTCTCTCCTGTTCGTAAACTCCATTTATTACG